TAAAGAGAAGGATTATTTAGAAAAAATTATTTAAAAAGTCCCAAGTACAACCATAAAAAAAACGACTGGCCAACATCAACAAAACAACAGTTTTGCAATTGAATTTGCAATACACAGTTCACCCCCCAGCTTGAGCAGCTACAGATAGCTGGAGTAGGTATACGTCTGCTTGAACTCTCAATCGTGTTTGGCACCAAGCCTTGCATGCTGCGACGTTCTAGCAGCATCCTTTATTCCCTCTCTTTTTAGGCCTTCCAAACAGCAAGTTAGATGCCCCATACAATTTTCTACAGTACCAGAAAGCACCTTATTGTTTTACGCGCACTACTCTACAACCAAGGCAGCTACTGACTTCCCGCTCATATAGATGTTGAGGAGGGCTACAAGCTTGATCCATTCCTGCACTGGTTGTACGCAAATTCCATATGCGCCTCTCACCTCATTGCCTTTCGTTATTTGTTAGTTTACTTTTTTAGCTCCTGGTGAGTCGAATTTGTTATTTACATTGTTTTGCTTTTGGACTCTCACTGGGCCCCATATCCCAGCTCGAATGGCTTCTGGCCGGCCGGGGACGCTCGCGCCGCCTATATACCGAGGGAACCTGAGTGCAACGTAGCAGATAATTAGGGCAGGAAGGTTCGGTCCGAGGCCAGACGCTGGATCTTTTTACCCACCGCTGGCCATCACGAGTGCTTTGCTGGCCGCCATCACGAGTGCTTTACTGGCCATCACAAGTAAGTGCTTTACTGGCAATGCTTCACCCCTGGCCATCACAAGTGCTTTACTGGCAATGCTTTTTTCAAAGAGCACAACAGGCCAACAAGCAAAGAGCATCAGCTGGCTCGAGTTTCCCGCCCATAGAAGGCTGGCGTCGTCATTGTCATTGGTTGGTAGACAAGCTCGAGCATAAAATAGAATCAGTTCACAATACCAGCCAGCTATTCCAGTACCATTCCCAGTGAATTTATTACGAGCCGAGACCAGAAATAATGGCATCCAAGAAACACAAGACGGTTCGCCAGAAGCATCAACACCGTCTCCCAAAGTGTCGCCACCGTCAAAATTCTCAGCCTGAAAAAGCACCAAGGAACGAAGTACCGCCTGTCATGCTCCGTGATCATGACAAAAGGGCTGGGAATTGTACCAATGGTGCTTCCAGCAAAGGGCTTCATACGCAAAGAGATACAGCAGCCAACTGCCTGATGGAATCAATCATGTGGTCAAGAATCGGCTGGAAGCCAGTTATTTGTCACAATGCCCACTGCTTGATTCGAGAATGCACTGGAAATAATTAGTTTCTATGAGCAACAGGAAGTCCAACTTGGCAGAAAATGAGGGCCAGCACCTCTCTGGTGTGGTACGCGTAGGGTGACAGGTGGGATGCTGTTGTCCCAGCTTGTGTCCCAGCCTGAAGCTGTTGTCCCAGCCTGTAGTGGTTGCCCCAGCCTGAAGTGGTTATCCCAGCCTGGAGCTGTAGCTGTTGTCCCAGCTTGTAGCTGTTGTCCCAGCCTGTAGCTGTTGTCCCAGCCTGTAGTGGCTGGGAGCGGTTGTCCCAGCGTGGAGCTCTAGTTGTTGTCCCAGCTTGTAGCTGTTGTCCCAGCTGTACTAGTAGTGGTTGTCCTAGCCTGAAGCGGATATTCCAGCCTGTAGCTGTAGCTGTAGCTGTTGTCTAAGCCTGTAGCTGTTGTCTAAGCCTGTAGCTGTAGCTTGTAGCTGTTGTCCCAGCCTGAAGGGGTTGTCCAAGCTCCCAGCTTGGAGCTGTTGATTGGTAGTGCCTATGTTCTACACCAAATTGCTACACTTCGCCAAATCCTCTACAACTGTACATGCATGCACAACCGGCTGGCCAAATAATCGTAGATTCCACCGTAATCCTCTGAAGGGCATTTCTAGGAATTCATTGAAGTTGTGTAAAATGTCTTACTAGCTTTTTATGAATCTGGTGTTAAATCATCTAGCCCTCTTGGTACACTTCAAACCATAACCAGAAGTGATGGTTTAAAGTACGTGAAAGGATTTCCTTTGAACCAATCCTTACTAATTACTAGTGCATGCTTTAACACACCAAAAGCACTTCAAGAAGTCCTCTTAATTGCAGAATCGGCTTTTGTACTCTTTGCCCCTATTCAAAAGAGCCAAAGTAAATTGCACGAGCCACCCCCAGACCCCCTTCTATGCTTAAATCGTGAGGTGACCTCACGAATGGTACCGGTCGAGGGAACCTGAGTGCAACCGACAATGCACCCCCCTTCCCTGCCCCCCTTGTTTTGCCCTGCTCGCGTCCTCATTGCTCTCCCCGTATGCCCACCACAACAGCCACCCACCACCGCAGCTACTGCTTTGCCTCGCCTCGCCCCCCTCGCTCCTCAACGTATCTATTTAGTATTTATTTTCTATTTCAAAGCTTATTCTAGTCCCTGGTACTCAATTAGACTCCATACAAAGATCCAATCAAAGGTTTAATCCAACAAGAATGCAAGAAAATTTCCAAAACCCTGTGCGAATCCAATCGCGACTCCTTTCAAAAATTTGTGTTTCTGTGCTGCTCGAGGGTTGTCAAGCAGGCCCAAATTTTAAAATTGCGGAGGGTTCGGTTCACACCATTCGTCCGTGGTACGTTTTGAGACTTGCTTCGTCGAATGATGCAATCTGCGGTACCCACACCAAGCCGCCTCCCCGGAGCAACGTCGGAGGATTTTGCTGCCACTGCTCCGAACGAGCTTCAATAGCCTAGCTCCAGCTAGTGTAGATAGAATTGATTGAAGGGGATCCGGAGTGGCGAGCATTGCATCTTACATGTGTAATAAGGGGGCGTAGCTACACTATGGAAATTATCTCCAGCAATCAGTGAGTGATTTTAAAAGCAAATTTGAGTCTGCAATCCCTGTGACAGTTGGCGATGGGCTGCTGGGAGCCAAAATCTACTTTAGATTGAGTCATTCAATTCGTGACCTTCACATAAATTATGTTGATGTATTAGTGTCCGTCATCAGACCCAGGGCAGTCTAAACGTAAAGACTTCAAGTTCGAACCAAAGGATCAACATTCAAAAAGAGAGTCATCGTCGCTGGGTGCTTTATCCAGGTCATTCTCCATTGGCGCGTGATTGCCACGTGCTGGGGCTGCGCTGGCAGGAGGTGCCCTTGCTTGAGGTGCTGCTTCCTGGACTGGCAACTCTTTTTGGTAAACTTGCATCGGTGTGCCCCTCTCCAATATCTCCTCCTTGGATCTGGACTTTTCCTCATCTACCAAGACATCTTGTGTGTGGGTTGGTTCCACAGAGCCAGCACTGGTCTGCGCCTTGGGGCTCTCGTCTTTGTTCGCAGAGCGGAATCGATGAAAGAGGTAGAATCCAGCAACGAGGAATACAAAGCCAATGACCGTGCACACAATTCCCACAATCAGAACCACCATCTTGCCTCCATCATTGTCTTCCTCAGCGGCAGCCTGTGGCTGGGGATTACCACTACAGCGAAGCCCCGGACAAGAATGTTGACTCTCGCACTCAATCCATGCCAAAATCTCTTCAATGCAGTCTCCACATTCACACTGCATTGGAATATCTTGACAAGCGCCCACTGCATCACCACAAGTTGACACTCCGCTCAAGATGTTGCTGTAGCAGGCAATACAGCCGTCGACTTCGGGGGCAGACCATTTGGTTCCGCAAGTGCGCGTGCTGTTGTATTTCGTCTGGCAAATAGGCATCAAGGGAGTGACGAAGACGGGGCTATCGGGCGAATAGGTGGGTGTCTCTTTGTCAGGTGTTACTGGGGCAGTTTCTTCCTGATTGCTGGTGCAACCCGCCACAGTTTCCCCTGCACAGCTGAAGGAGCTTCGTTCTCCAAACGCCAGACAGCCAATCAATTTACCATTACAATAATTGTAGCAATCACAGGCTGCCGTGGTAAACTTGAGCAATTGGGAGCACGTCTCATCGGTGTTGGCGACAGTCACTGCACAGACGCTGGGGGCAGCTGTTTGGCTGGGAGGTGTTGTGGGAAGGACTGTTTGTGCAGGGCGTATTGTTGGTACAGGCAGCTTCGGTTTTAAAGATTCAAACGCGTGCCAGGTTTTCTCGTACACTTCTACGAGAGCTCGAGTAGAAGTGTACCAGGGAGGTCGGCACGCGTTTGCATCAATAAAATCGAAGCTGCTCGTACGTCGGGAGCCACTGTTTGTACTTCGGGAGGTTTTGTTTGCAAACTCGGCTCTGGCGGTACTGAGGCCACGGGTATTTGCAAAAATGTGCCCCCGTCCTCTGCTGCTGGTGGCGGTGGGTTGGATGGGTCCAAGAAAGTCTCATCAGGAGGTGCTGGTGTTGGATCAGGTTTGAACAAGATTGGAGCGACGAGTTAGATATCCTGTGGCGAAAGCTGCTGCATCCCTGCCCGGCGAATCGCATCATATCGTACCTGGGTCTTTTTCATAGGGTAAGATAAAACAATCCTGAGCAGACCCCTCTGTAGTGCACCCTACATTGACCATGTCAGTTGGGCATGTAGTGGCCCCAGCGGCCTGGGCCGCAAGTTCACACGAGTATCCCACAGGTGATTCATCGCCACTTTCGCACATGGCACATGCATCACATGCTACACCATTCCACTCTACTAAACATGACCAAGTCCCCGCATCAAAGTAGATACAGACCGCATTGCCATCAATATCCAGGCAATCCCCGGAAAGAAGGTCTCTGTCGGCTAATGTCCTGAAATGGCTGGCCAGGTGTCGAAGCGCTCGTGGCTCTCCCATCACTGGAGACGATGCCAACGACGCTAGGACGAAAAGTGCGTTCAAAAAGTTCCCGGTCCGCATGGTTGGCTTTTGTTTTATTAGTCAAGGTGGCTGTATTGTTCGAATCTCGTTGGTTGCTTTCCTGTTTGCTATTGTGGGGAGGGAGCGAAGTAATAAGGAGCCGAAGCCCTGTCGTCTCGATTGGAATCTATGAATTCCAGGTAGGAACTCAGCTGGTAGGTGCACAAGAGCTGGGATGGAGAGCCCTGTTTGGTGGAGATCTCCTTCCACTGGCGCTGGAAGGGCCAGCCTAAGGCTGGCAGCCAATGCTATTCAATCACTGTGGAAGCAATGATTGAACAGTCTAATTGCTCAATACCCTGGCACTGGCCATACAGGATCCTGTCTACTGCAGAGCTCTACTTGTGCTGTTGGGTCTGTCTCTCAGGTCAACTACTTCTTCATTACTTCTTTAAACTATAATATGAACACAAACTCTGATTTTGCGTGAACTCCATCCAGCCATGCGGATACAGATCCATGCATTCTTTTGGCTGGTATATACAAGCTATCTTTCTAGATGGTCATGGCTGAGGAACTGCATCATCCTTGGGTATATAGATTTCCTCATCTATTTCTGTATTTCCAGATGGTTGCACTGCTGACCTTACTTTTGGAGTATACAGATGTCACGTCGATTCGATGGTGACACAGCTCATTGTACTGAAAGAGTGTACAGATGCAGCAGCGATCTTTCCACCAGACTGAGCCAGCACAGCTGCGCCGCACCCATATTATGGCTCCTATGGCATAATCTCATCGGGAATAGGAGCAACCCTGGGCTTCTCATGTCGCCTCGAGTTATCACAGTTCTATGCGCAACAGATAGTCGGGGAGCCTGAGTTCAACCATCTAAGATTACTCAATTGACACTCTCGATTGGATGCATTTGGCTTTGGTTGTCAAGGCCCCATTGCGAAAGGTTCGGTTCGCACCATTCATCATGCAATGTGTTCCCGTTGAGACTTGCTTCGTCGACTCCGCAGAGCAGGGCCGGAACCGGTACGTACCGTACCCGTCATGTGAGGCTTCAAGAGACACACGATATCAAATGTCTGCACAACTTATTACATACTACAGCGGTCGGTGGTCGGTGGAGTATGGAATGAGTGACAGTCTTCCCTTTTGCTACGTGGCGATGAAGTTCAGAGTGTGGGATCTTCCACAGATGCTCAAGTTCTCGGGGATTCCCAAGCTGGCTTTTGCAGCGAACTTCTCCTTGTTTTTGGGGAGCAGGAAGTTGATAGCGCAGTAGTACCTGGTACCGGTAGTAGTAGTTGGATCTGTCCCTCAGTTGCTGGAGGTGCAACCAACCGGATAGGATCTTCGGGGAAGGGATTTCTCGGGGCTCTCTGAGGCTACATAGGAGGATCCCGAGGGCAACAAGGCAACAAGTGGTTTGATTACACTCTTGTCTATTGGACAAGGGAGGCTCTCAGCGATGGAAGTTCTAATGTATTGAAAGTCAACAGAAGGGAAACACTGGCAGTAAACACAAAGAGGTGGATACATTGAGGCTGACGAAGGCATGAGCCCTCAACGAGTTTGGAATCATTCGGCTGGTTGGAAACAATGTGTTGCCAAGCTAGCCAGTTCTGCTACTGTAGATAGAGGCCATTTCTAGCTAGCTGGGTAATAAACAGTTGGCTGCTTTGGTAGCTATCTAGCTAGCTAAGATATTAGGCTCTGCTACTAGCTAGCTGGGTAATGATCAGTTGGCTGCTTGGGAGCTATGGTACAGTGCCAATTAGCCAGTAGCTAGCTACATACTCTATTATTTGTTCCTCTTTTGCAATTTGCATTTGGCTAGGCTACCATTATTAGGGTTACGGCTAAAAACTGTGACACACAAACGGACAAACGGACAAACAGACAAACAGACAAACAGACAAACAGACAAACAGACAAACAGACAAACAGACAAACAGACAAACAGACAAACAGACAAACAGACAAACAAAATTCAGGCTGCCGAAGGCATGAGCCCTCAACGAGTTTGATTTTGATTGGCAGTAGCTACATCGTAGGCAAGCCAGGCTAGCTGGCTGCAGCTGTAGACCGTAGTAGCCAGCCATCTGTTTTTCTTTTGGTAGTCTACTTCTATTAGGGTTATGGCTAAAAACTGTGACACACAAACGGACAAACGGACAAACAGACAAACATCCAAACAAAATTCACAAGGGCCCTAACCAGTTGAGGGCTATTCACAAGGGCCCTAACCAAGTTGAGGGATATTCCTGCTCATGAGACTACTCCAAACCAACGGAAGTGAAGAAATAGCTGTGCAGGAATGCTCAATAGGCAGCTATAAGTGTACACACATACATCACGAGCCCTGTTCTTTGTCCAAACGAATGAACCGAGTTCGGCTAGCTAAGCATTAGAGTCGAGTCGAGTTGAGAGGCACTGGCTGCTCTGTTACTTGGTCAATCATCCAGGTTCAGGCTGAATCCACAGTCGAATTTGTTGATTTTGATCTCCATTTGCGCGCTGGCGTGATGATTCGAAGTACGAACTGCACTGTATGCTTCCGTGTGGTCGTTCATTCAAAGAACGGACTGGACAGTAACCCCCTCGCTGTCAGAATCAGCTCGCTGTCTTTGAACTTGGCTGCGCGCTCCCTGGCCATGAATAGAGTCTCCAGGACTTTCCAACCCGCACTGTCATTTCTGTCTAGCAGTTCCACCAGATTGGCCCAGACTTCCTCGGCTTCGACGTATTCTCGGAATTGGGCAATATCCTTGTCAAAAATATCTCCCAGCAATCGTTGGAGTGTATCTTCGTCCGTCGCCGGGACCGGATCATTGACACTCTTGATTTCGGCAAGCGACGACAAGAGCAATCCCACCGCCACAAATCCCAAAGCATGCATGTCTTCGGCAATGGCAAAGTTGGCGACGGCAATTGATCGTTCCCCCTTGGCAAAGGACAAGCCAAATGTTCGTGCGCGGGTACAAAACTCGGGATCGTCAGCGGACGCTTCCAACAATCCCGCGAATCCAAAATCGGCCATTTTGATGTGCAGCTGTGACAAGAATGTCGTGTAGGGTGAGGACGCTTCCCGTTTGTCCATGGCTTTCGAAGACAGCAAGATACTGCTTCGCCCGATACTCCGATGCACCAATCCGACATCGTGTTGCAGTGCCATGGCTTCCAGTGCCCCCTTGAGAATGCCCTTGACGACGTAGTTGGCGCGTTGTTCAAATTTTGGCAACGGCGGGGGGTCGACGGCTCCAAAGAAACCCTTTTTGGGAGGAATGGCTTGTCGTCTCAATTCAGCAGGTTGGGCATAGTTGGCCACACTGGCCATACCGGGATATTCGTAAATGATCCAAATGGCGCTGGGTTTGGGTGGTTTGACACTCATGGCTCTGTAGAATTCATTGGGATCCATGTCGTCAATTTCTGCCAGATTGCATTCTCCCAGAATACCCACAAACGGACTGTCTCGGAGGAGATGCATTAGGCGTGCCACATTGTTGTTGTCTTGTCGTTCCATGACCGATCGAGACGACGCCGCTCGGTACCAATCTCCGTCTTGAGCACTTTGTTCGTTTCGCAAGAGGTTGGATTGTAGTTTGGCAATGGCAAATAGTTCGTTTCGAGCCAGTTCCATGGCCATGTCACCAGAGAATTCTTTAATCAAGACTCTTCGATCGTATCCTTGTGCTGACAGGCTGCCTCCGAGGGGTCCTACCAGCTCTCCTCGAAAGAGGCGGATCTGGGGTAACCAACAAGTTCGTGCGTTGGTGGATGGCATGTAGTGTAGTGTAAGTTTAGGTCCATTCCTCTTAAGGCAGAACATTCAGGTGAGTACACGAACGAACGTACTTACCACAGACCCACTGCTGGATCGAGTTCTCCTTGGAGTGGCGGAATCAAAGGGATTGGGTTGGACCACTTTTCGGTCGGTCTCGTCGTCTTCATTTTCGTAGTAGTACTCCCAATCTGTCACTTCATCAAAGCCCATGTTACCCACAAAGTCAGAAAGCACAAAGTCTCTGCCAAGTGAGAGCTGACAATTGATCCATAGATCCATCCATTAATGGGTTAGCAAACAAGCATGTCAATGTCAAGTAAGTGTTCTGTACAAAACAAACAAACTGTACAATCAAGTTGTACATACCTGCCTGGACCGACACGCTGACAAATCGTCGGCTCCTCTGGACTGGAGAACATCGGAAAGTTTCAAGACATCGTCATTGCTGTCGGCAAAGTCATCAAAGTCGGACTCCCATTCATCAGCGTCAATGCCTCGCAATGTTGTCGGTATTTGTGGGCGTGTTCCAGTGGACGATTTTTGGAGTACAGGTTGTGTCACAAAGGCATTGGCCAGAGGCAGGCAAGCAATCAAGAGAGGCAACATCCTTGGCTTCCAACTCCTTCTCATGGCGATGACAGGAGCTCCTGTAGAACAAATATGGTTGGTCTGACAAGACGAAATGATACCCATAGCGGTAGCATCGAGGGCGCTCTTCTTCACTTTTGACATCCTGACAGGATTTTCTTCTTTCACCTCATCGATTTCCTCGCCACGTCACCCTGACTGATGCCATGGAGGTGCGCGACTGGACTGTGACTGATAACTGTGACTCATGCTGACTTCCCACGTTCGCTCTTCGCTGTCCATCGTTGCCATCATGAGGTGTCTATTGTCTTGACTGTTGTCATTTTCGCCGAGAGTCGAAATCAAAAAATCCATACAGACAGACGATTGACTAGTATGCCACTTCCCGAAGACAATCTCGCCGAGCTGTCCTTTCGCGACCTACAGAGGGAGTGTCGAGATGCTGGTCTGGATCGATCGGGAACGGCGGCCATGTTGCGCAAACGGTTGCAGGAATCGCTCAATAAGCAACAGCGTTCCAACAAACGAACCAAAAAGAGTCCTGCCGATGATCTGCTATGTCCCATTACTCTAGAGTTGCCATGGGATCCAGTAACGGGTAAGCAAGAAGCATTCGATAGCTTGCTTTTGCCAGCCGTCCAAAAGCTCATCCTAGTTTGTGTTTCCCTCTTTTCTTGCTACCGTATAGCGGAAGATGGTCGGGTGTATGAACGTTCGGGTAAGATCTGCTACGTATGCCAAAGAATCCTGCTGTGCTTTCGATTTATAGGTTTGTAGCTCATAATTGTGTGTGTGTTTTCCACTTCCATCGATCGACAGCCATCCAAAGTCACATCAACCATAATCGCGGCTGTGCACTCCTCCGGTCCCCCATGACAAATGAGAAGATGGGAACGCGTCTCTTGCCCGCACCGCAACATAGGAGTTTGATTGAAACATTGATTGAGACTGGAGCCATTGAAGGAGACTTGGTCATCAAATGGGAACAAGCCGCCAAGGATAAAAGGGCGGCCGAGGAGCTGCTACGCAAAGCCAATGACGGTGATCCGCAGGCCATGGAACAAGCTGCCATCAACTACGAGCTGGGCGAAGCGTTCCCCTGACTGAAACAGCTTTTCGGTGGTACAAGAGCACCTTGCTGGGGCACGTTCCGCCAGAGCCAATTAGGAGCTTGTTTGGACGGGGTGGGTGTCAACAAGAATGCCAAGCTAGGTCTCGTGTACTTGTCCATGGCTGCCACGGAAGGCTCGGACTATGCCGCCTATATCATGGGCATGTGCTTTTCCAATGGAAAGTATGGCCTGTCCAAGGATCGGCAAGAGTCAATCTTTTGGCTGAACAAATGCTTGAGCCCCTGCGACCACGAGCACATGACGGATGCAATGAAAACGGAGGCACAAGTGAAACTTGCTGCTATCTTGAAGAAAACATCCTCTTGAAACTAGCTAGCTCAGTTGAATTCTAAATAATGTGGCTTTGCTTGTTGCCCAGAGAGACAAGTGCCCTCTAATCTAGTAGTACCGGTAGAATTGCAATTGTTCTTTTGCCCGCACTTTGCCCTGGAGCGTTCCTCAATCGTGCATGAAACCGACCCTAAAATAGGGTCGGTTTCGGATTTAGGGTCGGATTCCCTTTAGGGTCGGGTTTCGAAACCGACCCTAAAATAGGGACGTTTTCTGAAAAATAGGGACGGTTTCTGAAAAACCGTCCCTAATTTAGGGTCGGGTTTCGTTTTAGGGTCGGGTTTAAAAAACGTCCCTAAATAGAAACGGGACTGCCTGGTAAATACAATGAAAACGCACCAATATTAAGGTCGGGTTTCGAAACCGACCCTAAAAATAGGGACGTTTTCTGAAAAATAGGGACGGTTTCTGAAAAAACGTCCCTAATTTAGGGTCGGATTTAGGGTCGGGTTTCATTTTAGGGTCGGGTTTTGAAACCGTCCCTATATTTAGGGACGGATTCCCCAAACCGACCCTAAATTTAGGGTCGGATTTAAAGTCATGCACGATTGAGGGACACGTTCCCGGCACCCAAAAAGAGTCGACAGTCTTCGAAGGGAAAAACTTCAAAAAGACGGAGACCGAAGCCTTTGGATGCAGCCTGCTGGCTTATTTTGGCACTTACCGCGCTCGGCGCTCAACAGCAAACATCACCACTCGAGACAGGCACCATCGTTGTGTATCTACTGCTGTTTTTGCCCTCAACTACCAGCTAGCAAGCTGAGGGCCTTTTGCACTTTATCTTGTGTGTGTGTGTGTGTGTGTGATGTGTGTTGCTGTAGGTGGTCGCGTACATATGGTGCGGTTTCCCTTGCAAGGTTAAGGCTACCGGTACATATGGTATGGTTTCCCTGGCAAGGTTAAGGCTACCGGTCCAGAACCCTTCCTTGGCCTTTAGAAAAATGCAAGTTGAGGGCACTAGCCCCCGGCTGGCTGTCCTTCTTGGATACAATAGCTACTCGTATCTCGTACATGTCTATGTCTACCACGTGTGTTAAC